CCTTGACTAGTGTAAGCATTACCTAGCAACAACTAAAACATCGGTGTGTAATCAACATTGTTCTCACCCTAAATCCAAAACACAGCACTGTACCAGCTACTAGGAAGGAAATTAACTCTATCCCTGCCGAAACCAGGACAGATATTCCTGTGGAAAGAGAAACAGATAGTAAGCTGAACATGACATGAGCATGAGAGCAGATTAACAGGTAGACAGTTCTTTACTGATCTTTAAAAGTGACCTGATATGTATCAGTGTGGTATTGGATTACTCCACACCAACTGCAAGATGGAGGTTCCTGGAAAAAACTGCATTTCTTCTCCATTAGATACTATAGGAACATGGGGTGGGACTGAGCTCATCTGCCTTTACAGTTCCTTGAGATTTCCCCAGCTGAGAGTTTTTCCACAGAAAAGACCTTTGGACATACCATACTCTGAACAGTGTAAATTATTCTGAGATGTGTAAAGCAGTCCTCTCAAGAATTTCTCTATCTCATCTGAAGAGTTTGAAATTCCTATTCCAAGGCTGAACTTCAGAATAAATCAGCGTGGAGGGAACTGGGTGAGGAAAGCAAGGGGCAGAATATAATTATCCATATGAAAATGTAAATCTAAAATATAAATATCAATACTCCTGGACATCAATAGCATAGCTTTCATTTGTTATTTCAACTCCATCTGACAGAGCAACTACTATCTATAGGTAAATACTTAGGGACACCTGGAAGCAAATATGAAAACACTTGTGCATTACTGCCTGAATTTCAGTTTTGTCTGGACATGGAACAGTATGCCAGTAGTCCCAGAAGTGGGGGAAAAATAACCCTGACTAAGAAAACTTTCTGATTTACTTTCCGCAGTTCTTATATTTGTTGATAGTATAGCATTTCAGAACAGATAATTAACATTTGCAATCCAGTTCTGTCACAGGAGACTGTAGCCTAGAAACCTTTCAGCAATACCTGAAATATTCCTGCTAATTTGTTAAAAGTAAATAAATAAATCTTATGTAGGAGATAAATCCTAGCAAATCTTAGCTGTCTGTTCAGTAGCTACAGTTCCCAGTGAAATAAATTAAACTGTAGGCACAAGTTAAATGTTCAGTAACTGTTATGATTTCTCTATACATTTGGTATTCTATATGTTACTTTATATTGATGCTAGTTTTAATTTGATTTTTAATGGATGATTATAAATTTAACGGAATTTTCTGATCGCCTATCTCCAAAGTAATATTCTTTACAGTATTTTCAAAACACAAAATCCATGTAAAGAAAAATAAAACCAAGCTGTCTCTTTTTTAATGTTTTACTTCTTTGCCTTGATTGATAAAGTGAAAATCTACCAGACTTAGTCATTAAGAGGCAGGACACAGTGCCATATAATCAATATGAGCTGATTAAATCTTTACCGGTTCTAAAAGACTCTGAAAAATAGAAGTTTTGTTTCACTTGGCTTATCTTAGTCAGAATGTGTGCACTGCACAGACTTTGTAGTGCATACAGAACTGTACAAAAACAGGTGGGAATCACCAGCCGATCATCCCCATGATATGAACACAAAGCATACCTGCTATTCAAATTTGATCACAAAAGAAAACTTTGTTTAAATACTGTATCAGGCAATAAGCAT